CATTTGGGGCGCTAAAGTTTGTGGCAAAATTAAAATAAACATTTGCAGCAGCAACAACAACAACAACGGCATCAATGCCATGTTGAACTTCATTGCGGCGCGCGAGTGTCCTTGTGCTAAATAACGCAAACAATTATATTAAGCCCGTATAGAATGGGGAAAATAAAGCAGAGACGGAGGCGGGTTAGATGCGGAGGGAACAAAAACAAAACTATGTGTATGCATAAACAAATGAAAAAGGCAACTAGAAAGGCGAGTGAAATTGTAATGAAAAAGCCTTTAGGTTAGTTTATGCAGCGCAGCAACAAAAACAAAGCCAGCAACAAAGGCACGCCCCACCAAGTAAATCCCTAAACGGCGACGGCGGCGGCAACGGCGAGGAAAGCGACTGCGGCATGCAAACAAACGAGCAAGAACAGTAGCTGCAAGAGAAAAAAACTGGCTGTTGTGGCAGTTGCAACAACAATAACAACACTAACAACAACTATAGCCGCAGCAATGTTACAAAGCTTAGTTAAACAACAGCAGAAAGGACGCAACAGTTTTCAAAAGCAGCTCAAAGGCACGCACAACTACACACGCACACAAACACACACATACTGAGCCCACACCCACACACATGTAGTCATGTGTTGTGCCATTTGTGTGCGATTGCGTGTGCATTTTTGCTTAGAATTGTAGCAACAACAACAACAACAGCAAGAACATGCAAATCTGTGCAAATGTTTCTGATGTATTCAAGTTGACACAAATCTGGCGTAAATCCTCGCGCTGGAAAAATAAGCAGCGGAGTAAGGGGGACAGGGGCGGAAAACTTTAAACGAGTGTGACATGCAATGACGATGTGTGTGTGAGTGTGTCAACTTGTCTGCAACTGCAACAACTGAGACAAGCACTCACGACTGCTAACAAAACATTTATGAATAAAATAGCAAGTGCAGCAACAGCAACAGCAACAGCAGCAGCAGACGACGAGCTAGTAAAAAGGCGAGCAAATTAAAAGCAACAGAGCCGCAGGTGACAGCAGCATGGCAAGGGGTAGGGGGTGGTGCTATGGGTTGGCTGGTGCTGGTAGGTGCTGGCTGGTTGCTTGGCTGCCTGGTTGCTTGGTGCATGGAGCGCGTAATTGAAAAAATAATAACAATAACTATAAAACTGTAACAGCAAACTGCGACACAAAGCCTTCACATGCACACACACACACACATATTCACAATCATAAGTACACACACACACACAATTACACACACACGATAGACAGACATGTAGCTGTCATAAAATGGCTGATTGCTTTCTTGCCTACGTACCCACATATGCAACACTGACGTATGAGTAATGCATTGCGTATACGACCCGTATGGGAAATCATATGCAGCCACTTCAAATTGAATAACGCACTAATGCCTGCAACATGTGTAGCAGATGCTACGAATTCCACAAAATACTGTACAAATTTTACGAAATCATTAAAATTTTGTTTACCAAATTGGTTTGAGTGTAAAAAATTCGAATGAAAATGTTATTTCATTTACTAATATTTAAAGAAATCGAAATAGCTGACGCAAAAAATTCATCTAAAAATAAAATAATAATTAATTATTTTTAGGCGATGAATTCGATTGCTAAGCCATATAACATATAACAATTATAATCATGTAACTTCTGTTGGTCCCTGTATGATTTTTTTTACTTATTTGATTTGCTCCTGAAAGTTTTTCAAAGAGAAACAAAATATTATTAATTTATGGGAATCTGATGAGTTTAATTGCCAGAAGTATCAGCAATTTTGACTGCTCTTTGAAAATTTTAAATGCCTTTTTGATTATTTTAAATTCGAAATGGAGCTCACATTTCATATGAAATATGACCGTAGCTAATATTTTGTTGCTTAACTCAGTCAATTATAATGCAATTACGACTGTTTTATTTGGAAATCAGTCGGTGTGGCTTAAATGCTGCTAAGATATCAAATTGTATAATTTCAGGTATTTTAAATATTATATACAGACGTGCAACAAAGCTTTAATGAAATTGCTCCAATTGTTTCAGTGGGAAGTAAGGTATCTCGATTGATTCATAAGTATTATGGCAAGGTAAAGACAAACATTCCTTACGTAATACATTTCCCTCCATTGCAATACATTGATCCAAAGCTATTCTAGTCAGAGTTGTTTTTTATTATTACCTATAATATTATTAATATTTATTTATCTACTTTAAAAAGCCATGCCCATATTGATTGATTAGAGAATTTGCTTTATTATGCTACTTATAAGAGAATTATGTGTTGTCAATTAATGCCCTTAACTAAAATTAAAATTCACAATTACTTATTTTAATTATTCACAGTCCACGAGTACACTCAACCGCTGTTACAGTTAAACAATTTTCCCTGTTAAAATATAAATAATTTGAAGCAGAACGCAGTGCAAAATCGAAGTGGCAGCTTCTAGCCATGCCTTGCACGTTCAACAAACAATTTGCTGACGCAGCACGAAATAGTAGCAAAAGTTTTGTTACAGCAGCAGAGCGCAACAAAATACACGGTTTCAGGCGAGAGGTGGGCTGATTTGCAGGTGAAACAAATCGTTCAGAAACAGGGCTGCCTCACCCACATGTCTCGCGCCGGCTCACCTGACTGACTGACTGACTGACCGCCTAACAGACCGACATATTGACTGACTGATGTGTGTGCTGCATGCGCTTTGTGTGCACTTTAGGTGCGATTACATATTTGCGAAATGAAATGGAATTTATGCCAATGCAACGACCAACTGCGGCAACTGTGGCAACTGTGGCAGCTCCGGCATCCCTGGCAACTCTGGCAAAGCAGCGAGGAGCAAGCAGCCTGCAAGGCAGGCTTGTTGCGCTGCGTGTGCACGCCAATAACATTTAATATGTATGAGTGATTTCTTTGGGGTGTTTCAAACACACACACACTCATGCACTCACACTCATGCACTCACACTCATTCACACATCCACTCACCGACTCTCACCCACCAAATGCACTCACAATGCAGGTTCGTATAAATTTTGACATGTGTGTGAGTGTTCAGTGAACCACAAAAACTGCGCAGAGTGACGACTGCATGGAAAAATGTGGGAGAGAGGGGCACAAAGGTGTTACAGAGGCACGAGCCTGAACAAGCCCGGACAAGTCACGTTGTGGGACACCCGCATCGATTGGCTCACAGCCTCCTCTGCATTTGGCAGGCCATGCATGCCACCAATATTCTTGTGCAACAGCAGCTGCTCGCTCTTTAAAGTCGACCCCTCATCAATTGTTGTGATACAATTTAAGCAATCATATGAATTACAGTGCTTCCACGATAAAGCCAATATTGCATCCGTATACATATATGGGCTGCAATCAATTTTTTAAAAGTCAGAGCTACAATTTCATTGTTTCTGCCAGCATCATTTATTTAAAAGTAATATTTAAAATGGTGATATTCTTAAAAGAATTAGAACAGCAAAGTAAAATCCCAAGCAAGTAATGCTATAAAGCCTGAGACTTTACAATATTTACTAATTTCATTGTTAAAGATATTGGGCAAAACAATTTATTAAAAATACATAAGATGTGTGAAACTATCTTTTAAGATATTTGTAACAATTTTCAACTTGAAATCTCATGATTATTAAATTTCAAATTTCAAGCCAGCGAAAAATTCCAAAACTAATTATTCAACACAGACTCAGTGTCTTTATTTTTTTCTGTAGCTGTTGTGATATATTTAAACACCTGCAACAATAGCCTTGATCTTTCGTCCACAAATGAAAAACTAATATCTCTAAAACTTTGTCACAAATATTATTAACATTATTATTTGAAATAAATGTAGAAAGTTTTGCAGATTGCTCCGTTCAGCTGAAGTGGTTAATTCATATTTAAAAAGAGTCCACAAATCTATTGTTTTTATTAAGAGTTGGACAAATTTGTAATGCCATTGTATGTAAGTTACTCGTATAATATCTCAATTCAAATCAATCCAAATATTCAATAGGGATACAAGAAACGGGTCCTAATTACTTGAAATTCTAAAAAAAAAAATGCGCAACAGCTAAGATTTGGAATGAAGCAAATCAAACACCACCTCACTCGACTCTATAAATGCCGGGATTCATTGGAAAATACTTCACGTCAGTTGCAATTGAGTGGTTGAATGGTGTCCAGACTTAAATGCCAATAGACAGCTCGGTTGCCAAGTCTGTCGAATATTTAATAAGGCATTCAGAGAACTCGAAGCAGCAGCCACAAAGCGGGGCACCGTGTGGCTGCTGCAAAATTCTATTAAAAATTATCATGTTTTATTTAAATAAACCGAAAATTGCTACAAAAGTGAGCTGTGGCCGTTCCTGCAGTTCCGGTTGTTTCTGCTGCCTGTGTGTGTGTGTGTCTTGCTCCTGCCATCCAGACATCGTGGTATCCTGGCATCCAGGCATACAGGCATCCTAGCATCCAGGCAGTTGGGGCAGTCATGGCTCATTTGTATGCGCGACGCATGTGGCAAACAAGAGAAATAACTGAAATAAGTAAAACGAGCGAGGAAGCGAGCGAACAGGCGAACAAGCGAACAAGCGAATGAGCAGCCCAATGAGCAGCAAATGGTCTAGGGCGGGGGCTTAGGAGGTGTTGAAACACGCACGCAACGCACAAAAAGTTACATATGTGTAGATTGGTGTATGTGTGTGTGTGTGAATGTAAATGTGTGTGACTGGCAGGGTGTTAAAACGCCACAAGTGACTCTGTTGAGCAGTTACAATTTGCTTTTTATTGACTTGCAAGGTGCGCTGTTAGCTCCTGGCTCCTGGAGCATACATGTATGTGTGGCTTTGGCCACGTCTGTCAGGCAATCAGCTGGAAATTTCTGATGGCTCCACATGCCACCCCCTCTCCCACAATCTGCAAATGCCACACCATATACATATACACTTCACTTTCAGGACTGTGTAAGGCGACAATTGGAAATTTGTGCATAGCTATTTGGCACTCACCTTGCAGCAAACAGCAAATGAGGACAAAGATGCGTATATCGTAAGTGTATTTCATGTTTACAGCATAATAATCCTTTATCCTGTCTGCTGGTAGACTGTCTGCAGTCTGGTATTATAATACGATATGATGTGATATGATGTGCGCTCTTTGGCAACGTTTCCTTATCCTCTTTTATGCCGTATCGTGTTGGTTATATCTTTATGCGTGTACAAACTTTTTACATCCCTTCTATTGTTGCTCCGCCTTGAGTCATTCCCTTTCGTCCTTGTTTCTCGTCTTGAGTCTTCAGAGCTGCACGCGTGCTTTCTTTTTGATATAAGCTGCGCCTCTTGCTGATTTAAGCGCTTTTTGTTTGCTGTTTCTTGTGCTTGATAGTTGTTTGGTTTTGCCGTTTGTTTACGGCTGTTGTTCTTGTTGCTGGCGTCGCTTGCTTATTACTTTGCACAACTTTTCGCATAAATTTCAACTAGTTGCCATTTATAGTTGGTTCAGTTCAATAGGCAGATGCTGTCGCATGTGTTGTCACTGCAGTTGGCTCATTAAATGCTTTGAAAATTCGCTCGTTCAGCCATTAAGGCAGATGATACTCGCACTCGCCTACAGTTGAGTTTGTCTATCTGCAAAGGAAATAAATGGCTTTTAATATACATACATAGTTTAAGCGCTTACAGTTCGCACAAAGTTGCTTAATTTATGTTCAAGTATTATCTTTCCACCCGACAGCCACACACACACAATCCATACAAGAACATCCTAGTATTTAAATAAGTTTAATATGAAAGGGATGAATAAACATTTACTACCTATGTGGTCCTAATACTTTGTTACCAAAAAATAAGCATTAGGCACTAGCATAGCACGAAATCAATTTGATTTTATTTTCCCTTATTATAAACCGTACCTTATTTAATCAACCTTTAAATAAATACTAATGTCCTTGTATGCATTTATTACGCTCTGTCTACAAGATAAGGCTTCTATGGCTACGGCTAAGGTTTTTTTTTCTTTTGGCTAAGGCGCTTAATATTCACCTTTGCAGAAACTTTTTAAGCAGAGTCGTGACCCATTTTATTATTTTCATATGGCGATTTGACTAGAAATGCAATTAAGTGCTCTGAAATCCGAGTAGAAATCACTGCTCACTAGCTGACTGTATTAAAACAGGACATTGGCTGATTGCACTGGCAAGAAGGACACATTAATAGTGTTCTGTTTTTTATGCCCTTCTATTTTGAGCGCCTGTTGGAATCAGCAGACGCTCGCCGCACATGTTTCTGTACATATGTTATATTCTGTTGTCTAAGCGAGCCACAGATGGCTCAGCTATCCTAACCAGGGTAAATTGTATATCTTTAATAATTTATTATTTATTAATTAATTACGTAATTGTGGGTATCCATGAAATTATACCCATATATAATAAGTTTGTTCAAAGGCATTCCCTCATTAGCGGGAAAAATAAATACCCCCTAATTTAGCAATCTCGTTCAAGGACTCGGTTACGCAATTCGAATTGACACAAGGTCCAGAAATGTGCCATTAATATCGTACTGTAAAGCTTCGTTGAACCAAAAACTAATTACCATGAAATCCAATTTCAAAGTGTTTTTATTTATAAGCATAATCCATGTCCCTTTAACGTTGCGATATAATTTACATTATTTGTAAAATTGATTTCCACCACCAACATTTTATGCTGTGCCTACGAAAGCTTCTCGCATCATTTAGCCAGCCAGCAAACAAAAGAATCCAATGAATAACAATATTTCTTGGCTATGATGACGACCGCAATTTTATTTCCATATTCTCGATACTGGCAAATGCTTTTCCATCCCACTTCCTCCCCAAGTTTTCCGTTATTGATTTCCATGAATTCTTATGCTATGTGCTAACTAGGAAGGCGCAGTGATTTCTGGCAAACGACCAGTCATTATTTTATATATGCATGACATTATAATATGTTCGCCTATCGAAGTTCATTTCATTTGTTTATATATCACAAAAAAGAGGCCATTATTGTTCAGTTCAGCTTTGTTTGTGAAGATGTGGGTGGGCATTATTGTATGTAGGCAGTAGGGGAGGCAGTGTGGGAGTACGCCTTGCTTATTGCGGAAGCCTTATGTTACATCTGATATAATGTCCATCAGACTGTCACCATCTCGTAACGTTACCTCACCTAAAAGTCACTTTTCTAAAAATACGACCCCTAGCGAAGCCCCTGCAGTATGCAAAAGTTGAATGGATCTAATAATAATATAGGTGGGATTGTCATACGAGTTGAGGTTAAAATGGGATCGAGGGCGTTGGCATGGGCGTGGGATATATTGTCATGGCCATTAATACACAACACTCGTCAGCTATTTTTGCCAGGCCAAAGGTTAAGCTGTTGAATTCAATATGAGAATATGCGCATATGATATGCTGCTTAGCTTTGTAGGATCTTTAAATATTTTAGGGCATATTTGTGAGATGAAAAACAGAATCATATACATTTATAAACAATTTATAAGGCGCAGGCGGTAGAAAGCGACCTAAAATCAAAACTCAACAAAAAGCGCATTTGGCGTCAAATCGCTTGCAAAAGGAAGAAGAAAGCAAACAAACAAACAAAATCGCTCAAGGACACAATGACGCCTGTAACTAAGTATGCGTGTGTGCAAATGTGAGTGTGGGCGTGTGTAGGTGTTTGTGCGAATCTGGTATTGGTATGTGGTAACGTGTGCGTAAGAGCGCGAAGTAGTTAGGACCATGGACCCTCATGAAATGCGCATAAATCAAATGCGGCTGGCAGCAGGTCGTCAACTCCCCCAATACCCACTACAGACTACCCACTACAGACTACCCACTACAGACTACCCACTCCAGACTACCCACTACAGACTACCCATTACCCTCTACCCTCTACCCACAGCCTATCGTCAGCTTTGTCTTCGAGTTTTTCGTCACGTCGTTCTAGTCGTCCTCGACGACTTTTTTCGTTCGTCAGCTTTAAAAGCCTGTGACTCAAGTGCCGTAGCGGGTAACATTTGGGAAAACATTTGGCGCGGCTTTGCTTTTAATGAAAAATGAAGCTGAAATAATCATAAAAATGGCGGTGGAGCCGGAAATGTAAGCGTCGAGTAAACTGTGGCGTTGCCCACGTCAACGAAGACGAAGACGCAGACGTTGAAGTTGACGCTCCGTCTTCTTTTTCGCATTTGGCAGCGACTGGAACTAAAAACTTTGACTGTTGTTTGCTTTTGTTGCCGGCCTGCTAGCCTCCTTGCCTGCCTCGCCAAGGAGGCCAGGCTTCTTGTCGGCACTTTTTTGCGCCAAGGTCCACACGCCAGCAGTGGCAGCAGCAGGAAGGCGTGGCAACGCGGAGGGCAGGCAGATGAATTTGTCTGCGTCTGCCGCGTCATTATGCGCAGTGCCAGCAAAGTTTGCGTTTCGCATTTTTCTGCTCATCTTTAAGATGCTGTGAGCAGTATGTTTTGTCCTTTTTATTGCAAGCCCCTTGCCCTTCCCCCCTGCACTTCCCTCTCTGCCACTCCACTAAAGCTCTTTTATTCATTTTTCTATGCTGCTGCGCCTGCGATTATGCAGCAAAAAGTTTCGCAGCGCCGCCATTTACAATGCAAAGCCCGCTCCATCAAATTGGGTTGCTGGGGATGCCATGGCATCGACTCGAGAGTTGTCTGCATGTGCGTGGGGAGTGGAAAGGTATATGAGGAGTTATATGCAACAACTGCCGACATTTTCCGCTGCATTTTAACCCAGCAAGCAGAGAGTTAAGTAAAGTCTGCCAATTTTTAAGTTGCTTTAAATATGTGCAAACATTTTGCGACAAATGTAATTCGTCTTTTTCGTACTCGGATATATTTTCTACACCAACTTTTCCACTTTTGTTCTGAGTTTTTCTTGTTGCTGTCTGTTCGTTCGCCAAGCAGCCTGACAGCCAGCCTCACCGCCTGCCTGCCTGGCTGCCTGATTTTTCCAGCTTCGTTTGCTGTGCGGGTTTGCGCGGTTTTGTGGCTTTTGGATATTAGAATGCAACAAGAGGAGCAAACGAATTTTGAGGCATGAGGCATGCAACGAACTATGCCACTGGCAGCCACAGTCACAGGCACTTTTTTGTTTACTTTGCGTTTTCACTTGATTCCATCGCTTGCCCTTCCCTTCCCTCTCGGTCTTTCTGATTATGCTTCTCCTTTTTGTTTTTTGTTTTTGCCCTTATCAACAACTTTGTTTGCTTGTTTTTCGTATATGCAGGCCAAGTTATTAAAGCTGCACAGCCGCACTTTATTATTCCGAAACAAGCTGTGTATTTACACACAAAACAACAAAAGCCCTAACAGAAAAGCAGCAACAGCAACCAACATAAGTTTGTAATTTTTCCTGCAAAAACTTTCATTCTGTCACCCATTGCCGAGCCACTGAACAATTGTTTATTTTTGTTTATCTTTCGAAAATTGTTGTGTGCTCTTTTACATTCAAATTATTTGATATTTTTATAACACATATAAAAATGGTTGAATTAGTTGAAAATAATTTGCTGTGCAAAATAAAAATAGAAATAAAATGAATTTGTTTTTATTCATATATATTTAATTGATGATTCTTTATATGGTAAGAGCAATAAAAATTATTTTATTTCTTAAACAATAGAAATAAATATTTGCCGAAAGAAAATATAAATAAAATAATTGACATAAAAAGGACAGCATAGAGTTCAAAACAAAATGAAAATTAAATAGAAACGTAATGGATATTATTTTCATCTGGAGGAAATTATTGTTTTAAAAACAACGGAAATGTTTTTACTTGTTAAATAATTATTTATTAGTATATTTATATGGTATGTTATTGATATGTTTAATATTACAGAGATAACAGTGTTACTTGAAATGTTTACTGGTAAGTCTACTAAAAAATCTGGAGAATATTAGAATCAATCAATCAAATTTTCAGCCTGTTGGCCAACCATTGTCTTAACTCTTTTGCTCTTATTTTTGAGATTTGGACAAAATTCGAATCTATCTGATGATACTGTCACTTGGCTATTTTTTCATTACATATTCTTTAATTTAGCCACACAAAAAATGTAACAATTATAATCTGTGAGCGTGACCGTAAATGATGAAAATGTTTGGGTGTAGCTGTAAGTTTCAATCACTTTTTCTCTCTGAATATGAATACTTTTTCGAGAGCTCTCTCTTTTCTGTAAGAGCTGTCCTCTTTAGCTATCTCCGGGGAAATCTCCGCTTACCGCTGTGAGTCGGGGCAATAAAATTTCCCCCATCGGGTTGGATATTTTCCTTTATCTCTTTTTTTCCTTAATTATTATAATTAGTTTTTAATTTGAATTTGGTTTTCTCCTCTACTCACTATTTTTTTTTAGGTCTATAACGCCTCTGATAGCATTAGTCTGTGAATCGACGCATAGCAGGCCATATGGCGAATAAAATCTTTTATCTTGAAATCTTTTATGTTGAAATTGTAACGTAATGTTATAATTCATTTTGTTTGCTATATAAACACTGTATCACAATTTTGTTGATTTAATAATAAATCGAAAACATAACGTCCCCATATTG